ATTGAGAATTATGTATCACAAATAGAAATACAGTACATAGGTGTGTGCTTTATACATACATATAACTTTTGCTGCCACCACAACTAAATACACTGCCAAAAACCATTGAAGGATAGTCACAATTTGTGGCAACGACTATGTTATAAAATAATGCCAATTACCTCCATTTCATTATTATGCAAGTAACGCATATGAAGGCTTAGACGCTAAAAACCTGGTTTCGATACTCGTGGTGAGCACAGCACAGATAGCCCATAGTGTTGCTTTGTGCTTAACAACAAATAAATAAAAAAAATCTAAAATGCACGTGACTGGTTATTTATATTATGGTATAAATAGCAGTCACACACAATATTTTCTTTGAAGTCGCTTTGAAATGAAACAAAGTTTAACTCGAACATAAGTTATGACTAAAGAACATATGGATATTTCATTCTCGTGGCAAGCCATCGTGCCCATGGAAACCAGCCAACTGACTATAAACCTCATTGTGTTGTAAGCTGAATGTGTTTACTTGTTTCAGAATTATCACGAAAAGGTAAACATAGGGCTGTCTGTACACAACGGTCCCTGATTTTGAACTGATACACCCAAAAGAAGGCAGCTAGTCAACAGCACCCACCGCTAACTCTTAACCTACTCTTGTCTGACTGAATAATGGCATTTGACCATCAACCATATGATGCATCCACGACTTCTTAAGGCAGAACACATTTTTACAGGAACAAGTCGCAAACCATAGATCCTCTGACTTATAACCCCAGCACGCTAACCTCTAGGTCACGCCCTGCCCCAGCAAAATATGATACCGATTCCAAGCCAATAACACGGGTAATCAGACATTTGGACATTGAACACTATATTATTCTCAATTCATACAAGCAGACGATTCGCTGAAGTCGTAGGGTACCTGTTTTGAGCCTAAATAAGATGTCTGCATTCGTAACTGGACGCCATGTCAGTGTACATTCAGTTAGAAATATACTTTATAAGATCAGCTTATAAGCATTCGACATCAGTGCCAGGCTGCATTTACTATTTGTGGTGACCACACTCTATATTGAAGTGAAATAACGTGAACTGTAAAGTGTTAAGACCACCTCTTCTAAGTGTTCTATTAAGAGCACAAGTAGAACAACAAAAATAATTTACATTTAAGATCACATTAGGACTCAGCTACCTAATTACACACAGAAATTAATAGTGTTATTTCCTTGCCATAGGAAACACTTTATACAGTGTATAGATACAAGCATATATATACTTTGTTTTCAGGCTGACGTTTACTTATACTTACATTAGTGTCACGTTTTTACATTCAAATAACTTCTGCTATTCACTACTTCAATATATAGCAACTGGACCCTTTTATTGAGATCTCCACATACATACTTACAGAAAAATTATTATCTATTCGCTTATACGAAATAGACAGATTATATGAGGTGCTAGGTGATTGTTTCAACCTGAATTTAGTCATATATGATTAGCGTTAAAACAATTGGTATTACAATGAATTCTAGCTTTCAAAATAGCTTGATAATAGATATGCGTCAGGCAGGAGCCTTCTTTCGTATCAAAGTCAGTATTCTTTATAATAACCCAAGTATACAAATTGATTAATAAACACTATTTTTATTAGTAGATACAAATTGGTTTATATCCTACACTGCTAATATGCTGCCGTTTTCAAGGAAGGTCCCGAGAAAGGCTGTATATTTTGGCAAGGTTCAAAATTAAACACTGGGTCTTCTTGTTAGAAAGACTGCTTTCAAGAAGGATATCCAAGTTTTGCTAACTTTTACTCTAAGCTCACTTTTTCTCGTGTGTGGTTAATATGCCACCGTTTTGTCATTTTTTCATTGTATCGTATTTTATTCTTCCTTGGCATAATGAGCCACTCCACTTATCTCGATATTATAAGGTCCTGTATGTTTATTATGTTCCTGAATGCCGATTTTTGTTGGGATATTTTTTTTCTTCGGTGTATTTGAGTCTATAATCACAGTGTATGTTGTAAATAAGGTTTCTTTTCTACACTGTGTCTATAAGTGGTTTTGTTGTGTACTGACTACGATCATATTGTGTTGTAGATTCTGAATACTATTCTGGTTTTGTGCTGTATGCATATCCTCTGTATGTTTTCAGAGAGACCATTGCCACAGAGGAATGCATCTTTGCCTATAATGTTCTTCCTGCTGATGTTTACCTTTCAAATTAAGGAGGGCGGTAGTGATGTTTTTTTTCTTCCTTTTCCTTCTTTATTATAAATCTTGTTCATTCTGGAGATAGTCTATGACGTCCATCTTCCCACATTTTCTGGGGAAGAGAGGTTGGCTTATAATCGAAGTACTCACCAGTATCTGTGAGTTTCATGCAAACTACACGATAAGATTGAAATCTGATTGTTACAACTGTCCCTTAAGACTTACAGCAGAGTCTTTATGAAAGACATGTTATTGGAATGATATTTCAACGGCTTCTGTCATCGGAGTCCAATTCTAGTGGGAGTCGATAGGAAGTAAATCTGCCAATAGGAGATATTATAGCCTCCAATTACTGGTGTTTGAGAGAAGAAAAAGGCGATTGGACAGACTTAGACTTACAACAGTACTATGTCCTTATTGACTGATTCTTTCGATAGTGGTTAGGAATTTAAATTTCCAACCGTACTGCGCAAATGACAATATTAAAATTAGGCTTTTGTTATCTAGAACGGTGGTCCAAACGGATATTTGGTGGGATATGCTAATAAAGTGAGAATCAGTCAGTAACTATACTATCACAGATTGCGCTTACATGGTTTATTCTTAGAATTACGAAGACTCAATAAGCTGTTGGTGATACTTGGTGTGTGACATGGTATTTCATTAGTGCTTCTAGTTTTGTGAATAGAGTTGTTATGTATGTTTAATGTGTCTTAATGAACTTTTCATAAAAACATGCTAAAACGTAATACTGAGGAATATGATTGAAGTTTTTGCTGGTGATTAGCTGATAATAAAAACAGCCCCCCTCTCCAAACCACAATAAATCTTGAGAAATGTATGGAATAAGCAGTAAAAATTAAATCATTATGTAACTTTGCCGTAAGTAATGTAAGGAAAAGTTGTTTTAAGTATTCGTAAATGTCTTTCTATTAAAAAACCCCCAGTGGCACAGCGGTATGTCTGCGGACTTACAATGCTAGAAACCGGGTTTCGATACTCTTGGTGGGCAGAACACTGACAGCCCATTGTGCCGCTTTGTGCTAAGCTACAAACTATTTAAAAATATTATCAGAAACCATATTCCCCTCTTCATTTTAACGCTACTTCATTTATAAACATTTCACAAATATATATAGACCTAACAATTAAAATATCTTTAGCTCTTTATCTAAGTTAACAACAATTAAAATGTTTCAAAGTAGCAAAGATACAGATCTGGCCTAATAGGTAGTGTGTTGTGTTGCAGATTCAAGATTCGAACCGAGATATGCTGCTGAAAACAATCCATACAATAAACTGTGGGGGCATTATAACTGTGACAGTGATCTGCAGTACCGGGTTAAGAGTAGCGAGTTCTATTTGACTTGTTGTTTTTCCTCTGGTCAGCAGTTCTGAATTAGGGATGGCTATGCCTGACCTTTGGTGTCCCTGCTGCTCAAGCTTGAAAATACCTAGTAATCAAAGTAAAGAAAAATCTAAATAACAACAAAAATAGCTCAAACTCTTTAATAAGCATAAACATAGTAAAAATGACACAAGTTTGAAGTAATAGTGATAAGATATCATCCAAGTGAAGTGATCTAAATAGCACTTGGAATGTTACAAGTTAATGAATAAGGTGAAATAACAGAGTCATTATAGTTTAAAGTAATAGAGATAAAATATCAGCCAAGTGAAGTGATCTAAATAGCACTGGGAATGTTACAAATTAATGAATAAGCTGAAATAACAGTCATTACAGTTTAAAATAACAGTGATAAAATATCAGCCAAGTGAAGTGATCTAAATAGCACTGGGAATGTTACAAGTTAATGAATAAGCTGAAATAACAGAGTTATTATAGTTTAAAGAAATAGTGATAGAATATGATCCAAGTGAATTGATCTAAATATCAGTGTCATTATAGTTTAAAGTAATAGTGATAAAATATCAGCCAAGTGAAGTGATCTAAATAACGGAGTCATTATGATTAGATATACAAGAAATAACATTAATATAAAAAAACAATAAAAAATTCAAATTATCTTTCTTTTTCCATATATGTAAGAATATGTGCATAATACGTTTGTTTTTGAAATGGTATGGATACTCTGTGTACTTCTGAAATATATGATTCACAAACATTTCGGGGGAAAACAGTAATATAATAATGATAACCAAAATAATAACAACAGCGTTGATGATGATAATACAGCAACACCTCTTGAGAATGATAATGGGCCAATTTGATAGTGTTTTAACTTAGGGTTATTGGAATAGTTTATATTGTTTTAATTGAGGGTAATGGGAAGAGTTTATGTTTTTTTAATTTAGGGTTATAGGAAGATTTTATGTTGTTTTATTTAGGGTAATGGGAATATTTTATATTGTTTTAATTTAGATTAATGGGAAGATTTTATATTGTTTTAATTTAGGATAATCGGAAGATTTTATATTGTTTTAATTTAGGATAATCGGAAGATTTTATATTGTTTTAATTTAGGATAATCGGAAGATTTTATATTGTTTTAATTTAGAGTAATGAGAAGATTTTATATTGTTTTAATTTAGGATAATCGGAATATTTTATATTGTTTTAATTTAGAGTAATGGGAAGATTACATTTTTAACATCTTATAGGAAAATAATCAAAAACTTTATATTTAGCCGATAGAAACGATTATATAATAAAAAACGATGTTGTTAAAACAAGTTAATTTATAACTAAATAGGTATAATATAACATTTTTTAGAATTAAAAACACGGTATCAATCATTTTTCCTAATGTGAACTTTTGTTTCATTTAATAGGAGAAATAAATGGACTTGTCAAGATGGTTCTATGTACATTGTTGAACAAGAAAGAACCAAACCAAGATCACCCTTTGCATCTCTTTCATTTAGCCACGATCACGCATCTAGATATGGATCGTTTTGTGGCAAAATGTCTGGTCGAAGACCTACTTTTTATAGCACTACTAGGACTTTGGTGGTGACAGTTGTTTTTCCCCAGATTTTCTCTCCCTACCTTCCAATTCCCAGCGTGTTTCTCACCTATCGGTTCCATCGAAAGTCTCTTAGCTTATTGAATGACGACGCAGAAGTAGGATTCACTGAGGGTATAAGGCCTTCAAGTGGAACTTGTGATAGAACTTTCAGTGACTGTCACTCTCGAAAGTGTTTAATTCGCTCACCAAATTTTCCCGGATTTTATCTGAGAAACATTACGTGTAACTACTGGATAGACCAGAATTACGCCCCCTATGGTGAATATGCTCAGATTGAGATTTCTCAACCGAGTGAATTCAAAATTGACATAGGTAGCGTATTTTCTAGTACAAGAAATATAATCCACCGTCAGTTGACCACCACATGTCCAGGCGACATTGTCCGCGTATACGACGGGAGGACAGTATCCGCTCCCTTGCTGATAGAATTTTGTGGAACAGGGTCCGTCCCAAAAATAGTCACCAGTGGCGCTACAGCTCTGGTCCAGCTTCTTAGTCATCCATACCAACCACTTCGTAGATCTCTTCTTGAACTTAGTGTTTCGGTGAGATTTCGTCCCGATTCAGAGTTTAGGGCTAAGAGAGGAAAGTGTGAATTCTATCTATATGGAAACCAAAAAAGCAGTGGTTCTATATACAACCCCCATCACACTCTTGCCACAAATACAACTTGTACTTTTAACTTTATTGGTAAAGTACCTTTTGCCAAAGTATGGCTATATTTTGTTTCATTTTATATCCCCGATTCTCAAGTATGGTCAAAAGAAGAAAAGTGTGATGTGGCAAAACTTCAAGTTTACGACCCATTTGCTAATGATCAATATAGGGACCACCAGTTAGAAGAATTTGGGTTTGGCGGTTTGATTAGCACCTATTGTGAAAAATCATATCCTCGCATGTGCACTCATGCTCGCGATACTCCTGACCTAGTTCCTCTCCGTCCTTGTCGAGTTCCGGAAGAGAGCTATCTATCAGCTGGCTCTGAGATGAGCGTTATGTTTACCATCTACGAACACTCCAAACTTAAGTTTGTTTCAAGTACGTTTCTTGCCAGGTATGAGTTTATTGATACCGAGCAAGACGGCTATCCTGTCAACGGAGCGCGTTGTGATCGACGCTTCATCAGCAGAATAACCGCTAGGGGAAAAGTGCGATCACCAGGCAATCTGTTTTTTTACGGTAGAGGTGGGAATTCTAACCTGCGATGTTTATTCTATTTCGAAGGACTACCAGGAGAAAAAGTTCGAATTACTATTCAAAACATGTCGTTAGGAAGAGAAAATGAAGGATGCATTACGCACTTTGATTCTGTAAGCAGACGTTACATGTGTCAATTCAGTGGGTCTTCTACTAGGTATGGACTTATTAACACAACAGAGAAAAGTGGAGGACTAGACATAACAGGAGATTGTGTGTGTGGTTCCAGTTCTCTGATACCTTCCACTCTTATACTAGAATCGGTAGATAATGTAATGCTACTGTCCTTTATAGTGGAACGAATGTCCACTGAAGATGACTTTAAGGATTATTACTTCTCAGGAATGTACGAGTTCATTACCCGTGATTATTGTGCCAATCGGGAAACTCTCCATGGACCTGCTGGTGATGTCTCTTTAAATGTTCCTTCTGTTGCTCTACTAAATTATCTACCATACAGATGTAGATGGGTTATAGTAGCGCAATTACAAAGGTTCTTATATTTTTTCACTGAGGGTAGCTTAGGTGATAAAAGTTGCTATGGAAACAGGCTTTTAATTTACAGTAAATTTCACAACAATCCAATAAAGATCATTTGCGTTGAGAAGCCTAGCCATTTTCAAGAAAAGATTGAGGTGTTAAGTCCTCTTTGGAGATCGGAATATTACGTACTAAACCATTCTGAAGTTGATCAGTTGGTGATTGAAGGAGTTTTCGTCACAGGTGGTGAGATTTCCTTTAGTTGGCTAGAAGTGTTAAAGCCTTATATAAAGTCTAGTTCAGGAAAGTTAGTAAGGAACACCAATTGCCAAAATGAATGCCCTGAGCTTCAAGTGTGCATTAGTAGTGACCTCTGGTGTGATGGAACAATTCATTGTCCGTCTGGATGTGATGAAGTGCCTGATAATTGCTATTCTTTTCCAACTTTGTACGTTGCTATAGGGGTTAGTGTGAGTGTGATATTAGCGTTTGTCGCGTGTTTGGTGATTGTTACGAGGGTATGTAATCAAAATCGAAGAAAAGGCACTCAACCAGTACCGACAGAAGAGGTTCAAATGGAGACAACAATAGGCTGAGTAGTTTGCATAATTGTAACTGAAACATTTATTATTGGAAGTTCAATGTTAGGTTTCAGTGTTAGTGTGACTGAAAAATTATTATTCTTTCCCGAACAAACGTCAAACTTCAATAATTCTAATGAGCTTTACTTAGTTAATCGTTTGTACTTTAAGTGAACACCTGATTCGGGTTTAAAGAAAACTATTTCACTGGTTGTTCAGGTTATGTTAGAGTTATTGTTCTTCATTTAATACACTTGCTTCTCAATGTTATATACTCTAAGTCCAGTTCAAGTACGATATGTGAGTGAAAACTAGATATTTTTTATATATTTATATTCATCGTGTTCTGTGACGACAACAACTAACCTGCTTTTCACGGACTTCAGCAAAGGCCACTATGTATATTACATGTTATGCGTAGTGTATAAAATACGGCTTTGATTATAGCTCATGTTATTTGATATATGTTATATGCTATATACAGCAAAGGGACTAAGTCATTGATCATATTTTTCGTTGTATCTTACATCAAATTTAAGGCCTACTGGTTAATGAGTTCATGCTTGCCCATTCAGTCGTAGGGTTGTTATAATGTGTCAATTCCACATTTCAATGATAAAAGAGTAGCCTAAAAGTTGGCGATGAGTGATGTTGACTAGTTACCTTCTCTCTAGTCTACCATTTCTAAATTAGGGACAGATAGCGAAGATAGTCCTCGAGTAGCTTTATGCGAAATTCAACAAACAAACGATACATCACCTTCATAACATATGTATTTCAGTAAATATCATGCCATTGATTAATCTTGAATGTTATATACTGTGAACGTGCGAGCTCCAACAATGATTTTGTTATTCATTGCACTAAATTTGTTTTGTACAACAAATAACCGCAGGAGCGATCGTGATATTCTGTCATGTTAAATGCTATATATATCTAGTGAATGGACTAAAGCGATGATCATGTTGTTCTTAACATATAACATGCTACCGAAAAGCATGCCGCGTATGGCGAAAGAACTACATCAATGATCATGTTGTCCATTACATTTTGCATGCTTTACATGGCAAACGGACTTCATAATAATCATGTGCATTTCACGTTACATGCTACATATAGGAAGCGGGCTATAGAAATGACCATGTTGTTCATAGCATACAAAATGATATGTACAACACGTTGAATTCAGCTAAGATATCGTTATTGTATATGAAGTGAAAGTAAGCTCAAAATATTCAATGAAATAGGGTAATCATTTGGTTAGGACATCTTTCATAACTTTTCTAGCTTTGTGATTGAAAGACTATTTTGTATTTATTTCGCAAATTTATATACTTATTTCTGAAACATGACGATATTTGCTAATTGTAAGTTGGAAAGCTGGAATTTGTTCGTAAACGTAAAATTTGTTACGTGTACTTGTGGACGTGAAGACAAATTACTTTTAAATATTATGACTCGCTATATATAAATATACATACATATATATATTGTGGGTTAATGCGCTATATTTTACTTATTAAAACTGAGAAAACTGTTATGTGTCGTAAAATAAATCTTTGAATATTCTGATTTAACACTGTAATACGATCTATCTGTAATAGCCCATTATATCAGAGAAGAATATGAAATAACGAAATGGAATAATACTAAAATACTGGAATACGAACCATACATGAAGATAAAGGTAAAAGAAACCTTCTAAATTTAACTGTTATAATACGAACCATACGTGAAGGGAAAAGTAAAATAAACCTTCTAAATTTAACAGTTATAATACGAACCATACATGAAGATAAAGGTAAAAGAAAGCTTCTAAATATAACTTTTATAATACGAACCATACGTGAAGGTAAAGGTAAAAGAAACCTTCTAAATCTAACTGTTATAATACGAACCACACATGAAGGTAAAGGTAACAGAAAACTTCTAACTCTAACTGTTATGTGACACAAACTAAAACTTTAAATATTTCTGATTTACGCTCAAAACCATTCCTCTGTCCAAATTGATTATAAGTTAATCAATTTGCGCAAAGTCGAATTTTCTTCCAGCCACTAAACAAAGCATACAACTGAAGATATTGTTGTGTGTGCATATATATATATATATATATTCCTTTTTTGCTAATAAAAAATCCAAATTTTCTCTACATTGATATTGTTGTTTTGTATTTCAATAGTTTACATGTGGTTATGTTAGATACAAAATTCACAGAATGTTTGTGCATAACGGTATAGTTTTAGAATATAAAGACTTCAAGAACTATTTTCTTTGTCATTCCTGTGTATATTTACATTACTTATATATTTTCAAATCCGAAATTAACTTTTTTTAATAATTCTTTCTGTTGAATAATTATCTATTCATATATATATATATATATATATAATATTTGAATACACATTAAAGTCTGTTAAACGTTGATAGATCAAACACTGAATTATGTATTGTTTGCTAGTTATTGGCAACAGAAATAACACATTCAAATTCAAACTACAGCTATGATAAGCCGAAGAACAGACTTTGCCTTGATTAAATATTTCGTTTGGTTACAGTGGGAAATGGGTTACATTTATGCAGATGTTAATTTTAGTTATTATATAACATTTTATATTGTTTCATGAAGAAAAGACTAGCTTGTGTATACATTTAACACACGTTACCTGTACGTTTTATGTATTTTGTCTCGTTTACATATAGTAAGTAAATTTCATACCTACCACGTGGTTATTAGGTTTATTATTGTATATGCTATAGAGATTTTTTTTCACAGGTTCCACACTCACACGTAAACATGAACATGTAAAAAATAAGTTAAAGAAACAAAATAACAATAGTGAAGGTTGTATTAATAATTATTTTATTCTTAAATCTTAGGCCGTTTGAAAGCATTTAGCTCAATGTATTTCTCACTACATTTAAATAAGATATTGATATTATATAAAATTATCCTTGTTAGATTGTGTCTATACAACCATAAGATAGCACAGATATTTTTTTGAATAACTTCTTATAACTCTATAATCACCCTCGTCTGACTGGTGTGACTTAATCAATAACAAATCTGACAAGATGGTATAAAATCTGGCTTTAATGTTGAAAAGGTCTCATAAGTCACTCAAGATATTATTGATTCTGTCAATAATTATTTTATGAAATTAATAAATATCGCAAGATAGCAGAGACACTCTCATTAAATTCACCTTATAAACCTTGTAAGACAGCACTCTCAGTTATGATGTTAAAAGTTCAATACAGGTGTTACAAACCTAATAAAATAGCATACATATTTAATAATTTCTACAAGAAACCTCAACAGCTAGATTGGATTCTATTTGTATTGCTGTTATGATCACAATAATATATTAGATAAAGAAAGTTATCGATAATGGTATCATAAAATTTAAAAACAGCTCGAATTCAGTCAATAATAGTATATAAGCTTTATAACCCTCGTAATATGACATAGATTCCGTCAATAATATTGTTTCAAACATATTATTCTGTAGGTACGTATACCAAGGTTATGACAATCGGATATCAATTGTTGCCATTGTTAATAATTTATACGGTCTTCTAAGTCCAGTTTAGTAATTAGTTAACAATTACGATATTATCATTATTATTACAATAACGTAGTAAATACTAATTTGTTTATACCCTACGTTTCAGTTGATATTATGCACAGGAGTCCTGAGAAGAACTTCAGAAAAGATTTGTAACACAGAAGGTGCTCAGAGAAATGAGGGAAAAAACAGTTCAAAATGACTCTTCTTAACAATGGATATCATGAACACCTGGTAAAGAAGAAAATAATGATAATGGAAAGCAAAAAATACTCCCTACAACGTCTCATGTGAATATGAACTCCAATACATTAGAAAAACAAAAAACAACAAACAGAAAATCCCAAATTAGTAGCACAATAGTCATATAAGACTACATCAGCCTATCATGTCAAATAAAAAGATCATATAATAAAATGGAATAATATTAAAATATTAGGATATGAACCATACATGGAAATAGAGATAAAATAAATCTAACCAGCTGATAAAACAATCATCCACCTTATCATGGAATTCAATAAAACCTGGATAACCCTTTTGAAAAAACAACAACAAAAAACATATAGTTAGCTGAATGATGCTAATAAAATACAAAAGTATTAATAACTAACTGGTTGTTAGACTTGTATGATGGTATAGACTACTACCAATGATATCAGCGTTCTATTGGTATAATAATTCTGATTGCAAAAAGATAAACTAATGCATATGTATGAAATGTACAATTGCAACTCAGCCAAATAAAACCAACACATAGCAACATACAATTATAAAGTAGTTTATTTTGTATCCGAGATAACAATATGATATAAATAACGAAATGGTACTGAAACCAGAAAGTAATATTTATAGGACTTAAGTATTTTTCAACTCACCATTTAGTAACCTAAATTAAGGTGTGTTAATAGTATTATGGCATTGCGCCTAATCTTACTTATTATTCGGTATTGTACAGTAGACCAACTGTACAATGATGATATTACAGATTTATTTTCTTTTCACCAATGGTAAAATTGAAAATATAATATCTGGGGTAGAGACCTAATATATTCTTTAATTCACCGTGCCCTCTGCAGTTTCTCCTGTTCGAGGCTCATCAGTATAGCTTGGGACAACAAACCAACTAATTTCATTTTGCCATTTCGTTCAAGCTCAGGGGTTGGCAGGCCATTAGAGGGTTACGCTTTCTCTTCGACAAGTGCTGTAATAAGACTGAAGAGTAATGATACACAATGGGTGTGTATGAGGATCTATTAATAACATGGCGACAGACGTATGGATGATGTTATGAGTTGGAAATGAAGTTTATTTGTGTGTGATAGAACAAGTTGAGACAGCTTGAAAAGAATCATTCAGCTAACCTGATATAATGCGACTGGGTAAGTTTGACATTGGAAGATCCACATGATTAGGATCATCAATTGGAAGTGACATAACATAGAAGTTTAAGAGATTATCAACTGGTGGCAAGAGTTTCCCTGGAGGATGACCATTCCAACTGAGGATACCATATAATAGGAGATACTGGTAAAGAAAACATATGTGAACATATTTGGCGCGAAGTTTGCACTGACGTAAAAGTACAAGAAGAAAAGTGATTCTATCATACAGCTCCTTTGTATGACTGGGAAGTTTAATATTGAAAACTAACCGTAGGGCATGTCACTACAAAAATGGAATAGGGCTATAAAAGATAGGAGAAGCAGAATTTAAGGTTGTATGACATATGTAATACATGGTTAGCCAAAGGACTTATACATGTATAAAATAAGGGGTGGATTTAAAACCTATGAGGTTCCTGTTGGACATTGTAAGATATTAAGATTTTAAGTGGCTTTGTAATTGAGAATCGCCATTTGGGCTTTACATATGAGTTTCCGTATTGAATATGACACAATATACTTAACAGTGTTCAGAGAGTTGGATGGGAACATTGTTGACATGATATTAAGAAACACAGGGATCCGACATTGACAAAACTCTCCATCTTTAGGACCAAAAATATACTTCTTAACTTAAGATTACCATCTACGTCAGAAGGGTGACCAAAGTGATGGAACTTGTAGCCAGATAATATTGTCTTT